GCTTTTCTTAAATAAGTCCCTGTGGGTTTTCCACATTTTACAGACCTAATGTTAAAAAAAAAGTTATTTTGATTTTTGAAATATAAAAATTCAACAGTGCTATAGGAGTTAGCGAAGCAATTTTATCAATTCCCAGAATTCAGTACACGATTTTACAAAGCGCTAAAATTTTTAGAAGCCCTCAATAACCACAAGCATGGAGCTCAGTAACATACGTAGGATGAAGCAAAATCAGCTAAATTCTTCGGGTTATCTCCAGCAACGGCACATAACTGTAGAAAATTTTAGCAATTGAGTAAGCTTATAAATAAAAAAAACAAAAATACGCATTTGACCCAGCAGCTTCAAATGGAATTCGAACTCACTTGCAAGAAAATTGAGAAGTAATAGTTAGGAAGGAATATTAAAACGGTCAAATGTCCAAAGACCATAGCATACTATCAGCACGCTTGAAGTTTGGAAATCCCTTACTCAAAAACATAGAATTTCAGAGGAAGTACTCAGGTCAGTACAAAAACAGCTAAGAATTGTGGTTAAAAATGGAAGATAGGGGGGAGGGGCTCAAACGAATGACATGTGAATGCTTAGGTCAAGTGGGTATTTCGTATCAACTTTCACGTTTCTAATGTTTTATTTTTACCACTACGAGACAACTCCCTAATGACTAAACTATCCTACTTTCATTAGAGAGTCACTCTCTCCTATCACCTTTTAGTACCATATTTCAGATAAATCAAGTGAAGAAAAAGTCCTTGTAAATAAAGGCTTTTGATCCTAAAAGTACAAACTACTTCGATACATCGATAATAATTATTGCCAAGACAAAAAAGGTGCACGTATTTGCCAATTACTACACCGAATAAAAGCACAAGATGATTTTGACGTAATATTAGCAACTGATCAAGAAACTGGTGATGTGCGAAGGCAGATCTCCTCCTTATGTGAGGGAATTACTTGCACAAAAAGCAGGAACCCATGCTCATGAAAAAAAGTTGGCCTCTGCCACTTACCAATTGCTGCAATGAATCCCCATTAAGGAACAGCCTTTGTCGCCGTTTTTCCCTTGGAAAGGCGAAGGAATTATAATGGGAAGTAGAGAATGGAAAACTATATCGATTTACTGGAGGAGCCAGGAAATTTGCCCATTAAGGAGGTAACAAAAAAAAAATACGTGTAGCCTTAGTGGGCTAACAAAAATACGGGCAAGCGCAAATCTTCGCTCTGGTGCCCTACCAATATTACTAAGCTCCAGCCGAAAGGAAAACCTCTCGGGTACTTTCAAGAGAACATGCGCGCTAGATATAACTAGAGCTCCTTGAAAAAAAATTTTAATTTCTAAATAAAAAGGAATTCACAAGTTTCGCTAACACAGCACCTCCCCCCACCCCTTCCCGCTAAAAATTATAAAGCGTATTTCAGAACATGAACTGTTAGCTGACAGAGCAGCACTAATTACCAATAAATTCAGAAGAAAAGTTCAGCTTTTAGAGCTGTGCTACAGTAAATACAAGATATAAGCTCCTTGTCCCATTCCTACCTTTAAAAATAGCCATTTTCCAAAAAATGTTGATCAAATGGTTGGTGTATGCCTAGATTAACTGGAAATTTCCAAAGAGAACTGAGCTCTGGTTCGGAAGTGCAGAAGGGTCAATTGATACGTTTTGCTTCACCTCCTAGCAGATAGGCATACACCTTGTAACGATTTAGTAATAATAATGTGTTCGCATAGCCAGTGACTTCACACGAACCAATTAAGACATTTCAATAAAAGTTTGAGGTAACGAGAAATATTTGGCGTTCAAAGTCTCGGCATAGGTTTCCATTAATCACCCAACAGCAGGTAAACAAATATCGCACGATCCATTTAGGACGAAATATGAATGAAGATAAGGTAATCAGATGCAAAAGCAATGGATAAGAAATTGCTAGAAATTAGGAAGGATATTAATAAAGGCGAAGTTTGCGTGGAAATGGAATTTAAAAAACCCATCTTGAACGGAATGGGAGTGTTGGAGACGCTACAACTTGGTGAAAAAAAGGAACGATCTTCCTGATTACTAGATATTCGTCGAAAGATCGCTATCTCTGACGATTAGGGGTGTGTGATAGACTTACCACCACGTGGTGCACCCTGGGCAACGTATACTCATACGGCAAAAAAATCTATAAACCGGCAGTTGACTTCTGACTTCGAACTGCCATGATCCTACTGTATGTCATATTCGACTACTTTCACAGTACTCACCTCACCTTTTCCCACCTTTTTTACCTTCGTCTTTGAAACACTCTTCTACCCCCCCCCCCCTTTACTTTGATGTTCCTTCCCCTCTGTGAGGCCTGAAGTCAACTAAAGGGCTAATGATAACCATCAAAATGCCTGCCATTTGGCATAAATAAATCTCTGTCTATTATCAATTCAAAAAGAAAGGCCCGAGGCAAGTGGCTGAACCCAGATTGCATTTGAGAAGTCGAAGTGGGCGGGAGGAGTTTCAGTCACTAAATTCTGTTGGATTATTCAGAACGAAGGAAAAAGTATTCATACAATTCGAAAAGATGATTTTAAATAATTTATGACTGATCCGCACTTGGCAAAACAATGTAATAGGCTTAAATAAGTGTTTCAGGAAGCAACTTCAGCAATAACAAAGCGGTTATCGCTTCAAGGGACATTAATTCGTGGTAGGCAGAAGTGAACAAATGTTATTGAAGAGTTCAAAATTCCCATCGATAATGTGATCTAGCACCAGAGCAATTACAAGTTGGAAATGTTATTACCAAAAGCCCAAAGCCAACTGCACCGATAAAACTGGATCACATTATTGCCTAACATAGATGAAAATACAATTACTTTGAAAAGGCAAAATACTTTAGTATTTTCACTTCACTTTCAGTTAGCGACTTGTCCGGTTGATTGAACTCTGCAATTTAATAATACATTGACAGAGATAGATCAACTTGTAGACCTCTAATACTGGACACTGGATGTTATTGAAACAGAAAGAACTGTTTGAGTGGAAGTTCATATGGGGAAAACGAAGAATTCTCGAATTTAATTAGTACCATTTGGAATAACCGAAAGGAAATAACATTTTTTCTCTGAAATTCTAATTAACAAATGAGGTTTTATTTCTCAAATCCAAATTGCCTTACAAAACAAGTGCCCTGGTCTAAAACTTAGCGTATTGGTGGCGAATCGATCTTGTACCTCTTCCTAACGTAGAAAAGTAAATTGGCTATAGGGAATTAAGATGAAAAGTTGTTTTTCAAATATCACTAGTAGTCGAGCACTTATAGGCTAGAACAAGGATAAAGAAGGGAAGGGATCAAAAAAGAAAGTTGTGTTGAATATTTTTGTAGACCTCACAGGCTAAGTCAACTTCAAATTTTCCACACATGCACTCACAAGAAGAGGAAATTTGGAAAATTTGGGTGCACACACATAGAGGGTGAAGAGTACAAAAAAGACTTTCAAAATGCGGCAAAATTAAAATACAAAAGAAAGTGTCTCACTGTGAAAATCTTCAACCAATACGATTTTGGCCCAATTGGCTAAAACACCTTGAGACTAACATAGAGTACAAAGGCTTCAGTAACAGAGTTATAAAGACATTAAGGTGGCGATCAAAATAAAGATTTCCCTTCCAACCGTAATCGTCTCTCTAAAGGTCTTAACTATTCCCATTCAAACCTTAATAAAAAAATTATAAAAATGTTCAAAAATGCAGTTTTGTAAAACTTAATTAACGAAATTTCTATCACTTTTCAATACGCTTGTTTTAAATTCCGTTGCTTAGGAATAATACACAATATGTGCATTCAAATTTGCTTTCATACCCTAGGAAGAACTTCCAATTGCCTTACAATAAAGGTTAGGTAAATAGGAGAATTAGAGAGACATCAAAAGGAATTTAACGTCCGATTTTGAACTCATAAAAAATCGACACGCATCTCGTCAACATTGAACTGCAGTTAGAAACAACCCCCCCCCCCTCCCCACCTACAAATCAAGACCACGACATTGCGTCTGGAAATGTACAATGATGGTCTCTCTTTGGGGTAGGTGATCGATCGACCATGACAAAAGCAGATTAAAGTGTGAAGTAAATTGTGTTGCAATTTCAATTGCACGACGTTCAGTTAAAACATTATACGATTAAATCAATTTACGCAGTATTTGCGACTGGAAAGTTAAGCGGAAGTGAAAATGTTACTAACTTTGATTCGCAAAGCTTCATTAGTTAAATGTAGCTTAAAGTCAAAGAGTAAATCCCTTAATATGTTTCGATTTTATTCGCAAGTTGGGGAGAAAAAATTGAACAAAAGGAAATTAACAAGTTGAAGTTAACACGAAGGGTTTCGTGTAATGAAGTTGATTGCTGCCAAAAAGAGTTTATAAAAAAAATTTTTCAATGAATGATGCATGATGATAGGGTAGATCTGATTTTAAAAATAAAATAGGAAACAAGTTACAATTTCCAACTAATTTTGTTTAAAATCATTGCGAATACTAACTAATTGCTGTAATAAATGTTTGAATTTGAAATAGAATTAAGTAGTCTTGACCTTAACAAAACAATTTTTAATCTATGGGAAGAGCCAAAGAAGCCAATGAGTATTTTTTTCCCCAAGTTACCCTTATTAGTTAATGAAAATGAAAATTGCACTCTCTAAGATAAAGACCCTGTATTAAAGAATTGATTTTCATTTCAAGAAGTATGGCCATGCCTAATATTTTTGCTGGGATAAATTCAACGGCACCTCATGCGAAATGAGCCTCAAACGAATCAATAAATGGAGGTATATAATACATGTCCGCATTTGTATCCCCTAATTCGATTCTCTGACTGATTGGTGGGAATTTTAAAAGTATTTCCAATTAACATTTGACCTCAATTATGTCTACAGTTGTCATCATTTTTTCGCTCAATCGCGGTAAATTAAAATAAAGAGCAATTAACTGAAGTGTAGGTGTGGGATAACCAAAAGCCTCGTCAGGGTAATTAATAGTGGAACAATGTCGCCAGATCACCATTCTTTTGGTATTGTGAGATCCAACTGAAAATATTCCATTTGCCACAAATGCATACATGCCGAGAGGCGTTAAGATAATTAATTTCTTTCAGAAGTGATTGTGCTAAAGGAAAGGCTAAATGTACTTAAAAAAACATGTACAGTTTGACTTTAATGGACTTGGCATTAATCAATTTGTGCAATTAATGTTAGAATAAAGAGGTAACTCACCAATTTCGGGGAAGAAATAGAGAGTGGTCGACCAGAACGCATCCTGAGAGAAGGATGAACCACGCAGAGGCAGGATCTCCTCGTCGGAATAAAAGAGAATCTCCACGCACCCTGAGTGCTCGCGCACACCTGGACGCCTCCGCCAAAGCAGCTTCACGCGCATTTCGTGGGCGAAGATGGGCCAAACCTTCCACGCCTCCCAAAAACTCCTGAATTCTGGACAAATCCTAAAACAAAGAATCACAGCATTCCACTATTTATTACGTATTTAGCAATATATGAAAAGCCCAAAGAGTGTCTCAAATGCCAAATTAGGTGGTTGCATATTGTAAAAACAGCTATTTCAAGGTAAAAATGAAATGACGTCCAAAAAGGAAAAATCAAAGAGGACATCTACGATTGCCCCCTCTCATTCGATAATTAAATGTCAGCAGTAATGATTAATTGCTTTTAAAGTCATTTTGTTATTTGATCTGTATGGTTGTATGCACTCTTCTCTCGCCTTGGTGATACGAATCGTTGAACGCACACACACACAAGCTTGACTGAGAAAAAAATGCAGGGTACTTTAGAAGAAGCAAATAGTGGTGAATGGATGGAAAGGCATCAAGAATGAAGATTCTGACCATGGGTCACACTGTAAATATGGAAGAGGTGACTGCCTGCAATGGCCTCAATCTTAAATCATTTCTCCACTGATGTTTTCAGCAATATTTTTTTCATACTTCTAAATACTTACTATTGTGAGCCCTTCCAGTCTTGCATTTGGGTTCGATAATTCAGACTTCCTTGTGACCTCAAGTCTCGTAATCTAATAATCTTATTATCACCGATAAGGGACACGTGACTGTTCACTACATCAATTGGACTTGGAAAGTCGATCACCTGCAATTGAACTGGCCCAATTAAGCTGTTTTCAATACTTATTTATCCTAGGAATCGAAGCTGTCCATCTTATCGATAGCCCTTGATAGAGCGTCCTAGATATGAATTTCAGAAAATCCCAATGCATCCATTATTACATCCCAACAACCTTTTCATTAATAAGAAATAAGCTGTATATTTTGAAGAAATTTCAATTCTAAAGCATATAGGCATCGAAAGTCAGAACTTAAGAAAAAGTGGTTTCTGAAACTTCCGTTTACGAAGGTTTTAAGTTAAGTTGCCACAAACGAAGTTCTTGCTTGTGCAGAATATATATTGCCCAAACAACCAACCTTAAGCATTTTTCACCCCGATGTAAGATTTCTTATGATCATGCCGAAATCAAGGCTGCTCTAGGAAGTCCAGAACGAAACATTACACTAAGAACCTGAAAGAGAAAATGCTAGAAATGTAATCACTAAGGCTAATATACCTCCCAAAAAAACTGGAGAAAGTGATTTGTCACTTCAATCCCGATTCTTGTCCATCGTACAACCTCTAAACGCAGAAATTTTCCCAGAGAGAAATTATACCGATAAAAAACTGAGGCCTTGAAGATCATTAGAGAACTCCATTGACGGAAGTGACAGGCCATAAAGATCATGCATGGGAGTAGTCATACAAGCCAAATATGCGTCTGACTCATTCCTTGGCATACTTGCATACCTCATAAGTAGTTAGCCAGCTATTGGTGTGAACACAAGCAGAATACAAGAAGACTAAATTAGAGAGTCATGGTAACAACCTTAATATTAGAAATACCATGGAAAGCCCTGCATCGCAAAATTTCTGCAAAACTTCCCTTGGGCTAATACAAACCACTTATTTGATAAATAATGAGACAGCCATCCACTTGTCCCTGTTTTGAAACGCTTCTTTTTATTCTTGAACGAATTCCTGAAGAGCAACTGAAATCTTAACAATGAAGCGGAGAAGTCTAGCATGTTGCTAAATCAGTGCTCTTATCAGCAAGCTTATTGGAGAAAAATGATTCCTACTAAGAATGGTTCTATTCATTCAAACCATGAGTGCATCTGGACTAAGTGTTCTAAGTGCGAACTCAAATAGAAAGAAATGTTCGTGGGAATACTCAAGCACATGGCAGCAGATTATAACTTTTCGCTTAAAGGTTAGTAAGCAACTGTGGGTTCTGTTCAAATTGGCAAAAGGAAAAAGATTTGAGTAGCATAGGATGTTAATTAGTGTAGCATGAACAAATTTAGGGGTACATTAAGACCATTTTTGTAACGAGAAGTCGTCATTAGCAGTTTAAGTATTTACTAATTAGCGTTCTTAAAAAGATTGTTACTTGAAGTTGGATTTTGCAAGATGAGTTGATTAAGATGGACTTGTAAATTTTGAGAACAAAATATTGCCATACTAACTGACCAGAATCCTGAAAAGTGTTCCAAAATTTTAACTCATGGTGATATAAGTTCGATCGAAGTTGCATGCTCAACTTGGTGAACATCTTCAAAAGCAACAAAGTAAAACTACAGCCAATATGATCAAAATTGATATTCTCGAAAGTAGTTATTCAATTAATTTACTCCTCCTTTGTCATCGTCAAAATTACTCTATTTCCAAGTAGTAGGAACTTATTAGGGGGGTGGGATTCATTTTCGTAACTACGCTACACTATACCACTCTTACCCCCCCCCCCCCACCCTCCCCACCCCACACTTCTTGGCATTTGAATGAATAAAGGAAGCACCAACATTGACATTCATTGACGATTCGATCGCGCTTCTTCTAAGGTGGGCATAACAAAATCTACAAGTCTGCTGAGTGGGCATATTCAACAACATTTTAATTTAGAAGAGATATGAAATTCCACCACATTTGCCTTTGAGAACTTTTTTGAACAGCGCGGCCGAATGTCATCCGATGGTTAATGAAACTTCGACCTCTAATCACTAACATGAACACTGAACACAATGCACCAGACACAATAAGTGCAACAGATCAATTGGCCATAGAAAAGTGTTGTTCAACATTCACCTTGAATAGAAGAGTAATCCGTGAAGAGGAACAGGAATTATACCACCTCCTTTATTAGCCAAACTTGAGAAGGCCTCTTCCATTCATAGGATGTGAACCAGCGGTTACCTAATCAGTGAATTTTAAATTCACAGACAGCAAATTGAACAAAAATGGCCACTGGCGTGCCAAGCTTTAATTAAAATGGATTTATTCCTCCCTAGGAACGTATCGTAGTCGAGAGTGTAATACAAATTGACGAAGATTTGAAAATTTTCATTCTATTTCAGTAGAAATAGGCGTGTTATATGACAGAGTTTATTCCATTTCATCAGCATGTTTCCATTTCGCTTACAATTTTAACCTAATGGAAGTTGACAAGACCCACTTATGATTAAAAAGGAAATGCTTACTTCCTCTTCCCAAAATCTGACAAAAAGAAATTTTCCAGTTAAAATTCAAGTAAAAAATTCCATTAACAGAAGATTCAAAAGATAATTCTCACACAAGGCATATGCTACTTATTAAAAAACATTTTTTTAATATTTATGAAAATAATGAGCAAGAGGAATTGGCCAGTGCAATGGGAAAACAGGATATCTTAAGCCAAAAAATATAGAGACCATTAAATTTAAATTGATTAGTGAAATAAATGACCATTTTGATATTCACTTTAGTGAGAAGAACCTACTGATTCAAGGATTACAAAATTTCATTGAAATAGGAATGACTTTCACGCCCAATACTTCGGGTGCAAGGAAAGAAAAGAGGATGATAGGAACCATTTTAAAAAAAATGGGCACTTTCATCATAAAATCGTCCAAGATACACTTAAAAACGTGCCAATTTCTTTTCACATTGATTAGAAAAAGCAAAATCCAGGCCTATAAGAGGTAGGACTTTTGAAAATGAATAAGACCATTAGTCTACGGTACGAATCAAGAAAGACGTCTAGTGTATATTGGCCCTACTTCAACAATCTTTTAAAATTCCCTTTTTCACCCCTACTTGGTCTCTATTGTTACCGCATTTGGGATGCTTTCGTTTCCCGTCTCTACTACGAGAAAAGAAATAAGGTCAGAAATAGAATTTTTTCGTTTAAAAGCATACTCAATAAGGAATCGCATTGTGTCATCTCTATTGTTGGCTGTTAAAATAACCTCATGGTGTTGTTTGAGATAGACCATTCACCAGATATTGGGAGAATAGTATATTTCTGCATAAAACTACAACTGTCTATTGTTCCTTTAAAGGTGAAAAATTACTTCAATAAGCATTCAAAACTTAAAATCCAGCTGAAAATAATGGCCTATGGACGACTGTTTATTAATAAGATAATGACTTATGATAGCCTCCAGTTAAGGGAGCTGGGTAAAGGAAAGAATGTTTCAGTATGCTGACAATTCGCTAAGCAAATTTTAAAAAATCGGAACTTTTATAAACACGTTTTAAACAGTATACAAGAAGTTTAGATACAAACTGAACTCATCAAAATCTCATTCCCTGGGATTTCCGAACGGGTTTTCGATCAAACCCCTCAAAAAACTCCAAAGTCCACTTTCTACTTAATAAGTGTTTTCTCGAGTCTCTTAAAGCTCTTAAAATAACCAAAAAAGGAATCCAGTAATAAATGTAACCTAAATCGTAATATATTTTAAATGAATAGTACTACTTTAAATAATAAAAAAAATATAATACTTAAGAGCACTCCCATGCAGGACGACGGAACTTAGAGGTGTGGTCTAAAAGCGACCCAGATGATGAGATCTTGCAGATCCTATTCCTAAATTCGGGTTTACAGCTTTCCATGATTTTAAAAAATTTATTTCATAGTATTTGAAGTTGTCTTTTATATTAATTGAAATAAATCATTAAATATGCAAATTGTAATAAAAGACCGTATATTTATGAAGAGATTAGGAGCGTTTGGTGTCTTCAGGTAATAGAAGATTGAAATAAAAGAGCGCAAATATTTATGAAAGTGGTAAATTTTATAAGCAACTATTAAGAGGAAGTGACAACTTAGATGTGGGAATTTTGTCCAAATTGCTTATAACATACACTTTCTTTAAGCGAGTTAACTTATTAGTCAATATCTATCGTTTTAAATTTAGCTATAACCAGAAGACTTAATCTGAAAGGCGAGCAATAAAGTGTTAATTCAGCCAATCTCGCTCTAATCTATTACACCAGAGATGTTGGTTAGTAGATTTTAAAATTAGTTAAGGGAAAAGGTAGTAAGAAACAATTGAAGTGATAAATCTTCAAAGTATTCTAGGCAATTTAGGCAACTTTTAACACCCTGTTTGAAGAATAGGATCTCACCAAAATGATATAAGCATTAATGCTTAATTTCGCTACATCATATAAGCCTTAATTTCCCCAATTTTGAAATAGAGATACTGCAAGGAAACGTTCTAAGCAAGGGGATGGGTATCACAAAACTATTAAGATGGGAAAGATACTACCAAATCTGCTCAATGAGATATCATAATTTAAGTACATTTGAATTTAGATGACATTATATTTAGGTGAAGGTTTCTTTAATAATAACAAAAGGATTCAATAAGAAACTAACTGCAACAGCTACATGACCGATGATTTTTAATGACATTTATATTACAAATAAGATCGATAATAATTGTAGTATTATAGTCAAGCAAGCTTGGATCGATGAGAAAAATCTACAGTACCGAAGAATATTTTCTATGCGGGCACTGGGATTGTTATTTAATGTAATTAACTGGCCAAAGATTAGGATGAGGGTTGCCTTGTAACTAAATAAACTTGAAATCAAATGAAATTGACATTTTTTACAATTAGTGAAACTCTACCAATATTTTAATGAAAAAGACAATATAATACTTAGAATAAAACAGCAAGTTGAGCGAAAAGTTGTAACTCAACTAAATAGTTTTGGGAGGATTTAAAGCACCTACCAAATGAAAAAATTAATACAACCTATCCCGAAATTAAACAGCCATTAAAATTCAAGCCCACTCCCATAGTAAAGACTAAAATTAATTAAACAAATTAATGACAGAAGGGCAAAAAATGGGCGATGCAATTAATTTATTTATGTAATTCAAGGTAGGCATAATTATTCATACAAATGTTTCGTAAATCTAAAAAAGGAAACAAGAACGAAAACCAACAAAAAATGAAAAGGCGAACAGCAAGGTGTGCAAAGGCTATAAAGATCATTTAAAAATGATAACACAAACGTAATTTAAACAGGAAAGTCAACCAAAAAATACGCACAATAAGTAAGCCAAAAAGAAGGCGAAACCTAAATTACACAAGACTAAAATTCTACATAGCAAAATATGTGTACAAAAATAAAAGTCAATAGGTAATTTAAAATACCAATGGACAAACCTCATTTGATCGCTTATCGGGAATAATTGACAATATTCGTAGAACGTCTGAATTTTCAGAAGACATTATTCATAAATGTTTGCAGATTTATTATATATTTGATAAACATTAATAAATCCGCAGAAACATATGAGCTCTCTCTGGTTCGCTGTCAAAATATATTTGTAAATTGAGAAACATCCCTCGTAACTTAAAACAACAAATAGCACTTCTACGAATTTATTAAAAGATTATAATATTTTATTTTGTCGATTAAATAAATAAAAAAATTTTAAAAGTACGATTACCAGGGATATTTTTTATACTAATAATTTTCCAAGTGGCAACAAACTAACTCATAATATTTCGCTTTCTCTATGAGTAATCGCCAAAACGAAATTTCTTTGGTAGACCCATTGAGAACTATTACAATTTGCAAAACTATGAAGGGCGGAACAAAGCATTCCTAACGTCAATGATCCCCAAAGCCAAGGACCCACCTTAGAATGTGGCATTTATTATAATAAAGTAACTATTGGATAACTTCATAAGTCCGAATATAATTCGTCTCATATTTTTATGAGTTTGTACATTTGGCTAAAATCAGTTAAATTATAATTTATTCTCTAAATCAAATTGGGTTGCATATGCGGGGTGACTATCGACAGGCGCCCCAAATGAGAGATCACGGATCAGACATGGCAAGTTCAAAATTCACTTGTCTTGAAACGACGATTTTTCTTCATTAGACTCAATGAAATTAAAACTAATAATGTGCTTCTCGACGAATTCAATATGAACGAACATTGACAACCTAATATCTTCAAACCATTTTTACTGAATACGAATCAGTGGTTATAATCAAAGTTTATAATACTGAGGCTCAAATTTTTCACAACTTAAAAATAAGTATTAAAAGTACACAAAGTAGACAATGTGAACACCCAACTGTGATAATATTGATCGCTTTTCATTATTTGCTATTGCTAAATTTACTCAAACGAAAATTTGTTCATTTAATATTCGTTATATAACTACAGTATAAATATAGATATCAAGTTTATAATGTTTGCAAAAATTCTATGTGGGCCGAAGCCACAGAAAAAATAAATCAAATCACTCATTTTGCAGGACTAGTAAACGAGACTTTGAGTTGTCGCGAGTTATCAATAAATAAATCAGATTTAGAGTTAAAAACTTTCCTTGTTAGAGGTCGGTCGTGCCTCGTACAAATCACTATAATGATTGGCGTATGTTTAAACATTAAAAGATAGGTGGACCAAATACTAACTTCTATATTTGAGATCTGAAGTGTGCGATAGAAACAGATTAAAGTTAGCCAAAGCGCCATTAAATCCATAGGATAATAACAGGGTTATTTACGGATATTTCGCTTTCACTTGCTATCATGTCAATTTTAAAGGCCTTTGTGGAACTGTTGGCAGTAGTAATTTACTTGTAGGGATATGGATTGTAATAATTCAATGTAGTTATTAAAGCTCTGACTTCTTATTTATGTATGTCTTAAGTAACCTTTTATGAATTGAAATTGATTATTGGGGAGGCAGACACAATTGATCCAGTTTAAATCGTTTCAAGCCATACTCCTTTAAAATGACTAACTTTAAAACATTTTTTAAAGTATAGCTAGTATAAGATATCCGTTCCCAAATTTAGTGGAATAATTCTTTGCTTAATCGACGAATCGTTTGATAAGTCAAAGATAATGGCAATTGCCCTCGAAAGGGAGGTTTCTATAAAGTAGTAAATGCTGGAATACTTATAACCATAACTTTAACTTTCATCGCACAAAATATATACTAATATGATTGAAAAATCAACACGTAAGGTAATTGAAATGCTCTGTCAATTTCATAAAGTTATTAAAGCAGACTCCAAGAATCGTAATTTACCGCATTCGTGCCGGTTGAGATGAGGAGTTTTTTAAAGAGGAAAATTAACCATAAAGAGGCCATTATAAAACCTTTTTAGGGAGTTTGAATATAATTATATGTTTGCATTATTTGATAAATTTATTCCAAACCAGTAAAATGGATAACATATTATATTATTGACAAAGAACTTGAAATTGAACGAGGATTCAAGCTAAATATTGTAATGCAATGTTGGCAGAGAGAACTGCCTTCATATTCTAATTATGAAGGCGAAAATTGGTAATGAAAATATGTTTAGACTCTTTAGGACAGCCAAGGTTTAATTTACGATTTTAAGAGCAAAAGCACAACTTTCTACTAAATGCTAGCTCTAGTTGCAGATTTTTTGATTATCTGTGAAATTTTTGCTGCTGACAGTTATTTCTCAGTACCGAATTGGTGACCTTTCCATCAAAGTAATCCCAAGGACTTTTCACTTAGCGTGGTACTATATAGCCAAATGGTATGAGTCTTCATTAAATCACTGGCCCTGGATTAACTTATTCACAATTAGTATTTATTTCGTTTTATTCAAATTAATGCTATATTTTCATATCCATATAATACAATTGCGCCATTACTCTTTTCAGTGCACATTTTTTGCATTTTCTTTGTTTACTATTTCTAAATAATAGGCTTCCTCGGCTACTTTTCATAATTTCACCTCAGACCTACGTAGGATCATTCGAAAACAACCTCTTTGCCCTCCTGCTAAGGGTGTTTACTCAAACGGGGATACTACTAAGTCATATGAGTTTAATCTACGCGATGAAATTTTGGCTCTCGTTGCACTTGATCAAGAGAAAATTCAAAATCCTAACTCCGACCTTAATGTGGCTCTGAATAATTATTTTAAAATATGTCAAAAGCTTCCTTTCTACGAAGAGAAGATCACTCCCATTATCTACTTTGGCGGTTTTGGAGTCGACATATTTCGCTCTATGGAGAAGAATGTTTCAGTAAAGATTTTTCGAAATCTGCCTGAGGTTAAACAACGCCTTTCAGAAATTGCGAAAATCACAGGAGCGGAAATTGATTCCTCTGATCTCGTGGGGAATCTTCTTCATGATCTGCGCCAAGTTATCTTTCTCCTAGGACTTAATCCCTCGGTCGATAAGGACAGCTTACTTGCTTTAATTCGGGCTTCTTGGATTAATGCTGGTGGAAAAGTGACTGAGGAATTTAATTATCACATTAATAACAACCAGGACTTCGATTTCGCTCAAACAGAGGCCGCTTCTTTGATTGATTTCTTCTCCCCTGATTTCGTTCCATTTCCTCCAGTGAAAGCCCAGCCACACGCGAATGCTTTTGAGTAATTTGAGTTGGTTTTCTTGAATTAATTTTCTAGTGTTGCTATGCGGATCAATATAGAAGAGTCACTTCGTAACCACTGTGTGGATAAACCCATCCAGGAACCCTCAATTCCCAAACTTGATGAGTGGTCTAGATTAAAGACCATCTTAGAGCCTGTTAATCGAAGTCTCAACATGACCATCCATCAGAGTATCAATCTAGTCTTCCCCATCCTCGAGTCCAAACGATCAGATGACTCAATTCAGGGAGAAGTTAGTCTAATTCGTTCTTTGATTACTTTCTATTCTTTCCTAGTTAATATTTATTTATATCTCTTTTGTTTGGCAGTTGATTGATATAATGGGATTCGATCAATTCGATACAGTAGCAGAATTGATTCGTGAACGTTCCGATTGGTGTCGGTGGTATGAGAAGTATTCCTCTAGTCCGGAATCATTTCCAATTAACAACAATGCTCCTCGTTCCTCCAATCAGATTGGCAATTCGAAGAGCTCTGGAAAGTTAAGTTAATTTAATCTTATTCCCATTTATTTTAGATCTTACTGATTCCCAGTAAATTGTTTTTTTTGCACTTAGATATTTATAACAATCGTCACTATCACAAATGTTTTCTTCCGGAAAACAATGTGTATAAGTTCTAATTTTCAATTTTACTTCAGTTAAGTCGTTTATTTAATTATGGATGGATAAATTACAAACTTAACCGCAGAAGAAGAAGTAAGAAAACGAGGGGTGTAAAGTGAATGCGCGCATAGAGTAGGGGTGACGTTTCTCTCTCTCTCCCCCATAGATTGTAAGTTAGAATGTATCTAAGTGGAAATATTTGTTAAGATTGAGGGAGATTCCTCTACGACATCAATCGTGGATGAAAATGTACTTCCTGCACTGCCACTTCATGTTTTCCTCCAAAGCGAATGCCTCTTTTGAGTCGGAATTTTCATCTACGACTACTTTGACTGTATTTTTTTTATGTACCTTCATCGTTCTTTGCGGTAGCTAATAATAGAAAGGGAGAATCGAGTGTGTTTTAGTAGGTGCTCGAGTGGGTTTTACGCCAGCACTAAGCTCTCCTTTCCAATGTGTCTATTGTGAGAAATACGTTTTTTTGTCTTAAGTGAGTTTAATTTGTTAACGGCTATCAGAAGGGAACTTCGATGTTGGTAGTGTATGATATGGATGTTGAAACAGTTTTGCTAAGAATTCTACTTTATTATTTGGTTCTACTCATTTTAAAATTGTCTGCTTTCGTAATTTCAGAAAGGAAAGAAAAGGAACAAAGGAAATACTTCAAATGGAGTTGGGGGCGAATACAGTATTATTGACCAATTGCTGACGGATCCCGCGGCAGTGGAAGCCTCCAAACAAGAGAACTTGATGTTAGCAGCGAAGAGGACACGTGATGCAACCTCTGAGGCTTATCTCCGGTCCTGCTCTGCCAGTGTCAATAAACCCTCTCGAGCTGAGGAATTTCCCTACGTCTTTGATTCTATGGCTGAGCTCTTCGCTAATCGTCCTGTAACTGATCGATCTAAGGTAAGTACTTTTTTATGCTATTAACGCTGTTCGGATTTCAAAATTAAGCGAAATTAGTTGGTACTGTCTTCGGTTAGATTAACAAATTCGATGGTGCAAATGATAGTTCTCTTCTCTTTGATAAACGTTAATCATTTCTCAGTTTATGTAACAAAAGTGTTCATTTGAATGCCGTTTCAATGATATGAAATTGGCAGGAAGGTATATGACCACCACCAACAGTAAATTTAATTGGCAGAATGGATAGTTAAATTGGGAGAAACGTTTCAAACTTTGGTATTGGTTGGTATCTCTTTACTTTTAAGACCTCGTCATTGGCTGTATGCTAGTTTCGATTTAAGCCTTCTTTGGTGCCTTTAGAGTGACTTTTTAAGGGCAGCTAAATCTTCACAACCATACATTTCTCAAATTAATTTCGGTGAGTTCAGTTGCAGAAACACAACTAGGAATGTATAAATTACCGAAATCTTATACAAACTGAAAGAAGCGACAAACTCTATTTCAGCTTACTTTCCCATCTTCTTTTGGAAGTCTTATGAACTCGTGAATGTGACAGTTTTTCGCAGATCTAAGGATATGCGGGAGATGAATGCTTAGGTTTTGTCATTTCGAAATAATTCTCTGATAACTATTAATTGGATTGAAATATTCCACTTCAACTCTGTGCTTACTGCACTTGCGTTTAGGCCTATGACAAGAATCAAAAATGTATATGACTAGATAGTACAGAGGGGTGATTGTCTCCTTTGATTGCATTCAGAATTTTCTTATTTAATGTTTTCAGGCGATACTTACTTTATTTGGCGAATTGAAACTCATCTTACTCATTGAGCATATCCTAACTTTATCTGGTATCTGCAAGCTAATAGAGAAATATGAATTCAAAGTGGTTGTGATGGTCTTGGCTTTTTCTTTTCGCATGAATGAATTTTTAAAAATCTTCTGCTGTTTTAGCTGGTACTACCTGCTGATACGAAGCAAAAACGAACTCATCTTTTCGAATCCTACGACTTTCCCCTTCCAATTAAATCAGACGGTGAGAATGCCGAAGACCCCGTCCGAAAGTTAGTACAAAAACACCTGCCTAACGGATTGGTAGAAATCTCTTCTCTTGATCACATTGGCAAGCTAGCTTTCAAGGGAGTGAAGCGTCTAAATCTCATCCAGTCTGTTGTCTTTGATGCTGCCTATAACTCAAATGATAATCTCCTTATATCTGCGCCTACTGGAGCAGGTAAAACTAACACCGCCATGCTCACTATCCTCCACCTTATTCGAAGCAATCTCAATCCTGAAACTGGCGTTCTTGATACCGGTGCTTTCAAGGTAAGAGCTCATTTCCTATTAATAAATCTCAAGCCCTTTAAAAGGAGGTGAATGCTGGTATTCTTGAGTTTTTCTGCCAAGATGCTCTCCTTCTTTCACCGCTCCTGATTATTAATATTGACTATTCTATAGATCGTCTACATGGCGCCGATGAAGGCGCTGGCTGCGGAAATGGCGGATACTTTTGGAAAACGTTTGGCCCCACTTGGAGTTAGAGTTCGAGAATGCACTGGAGATATGCAATTAACGGCTCAGGAAGTCAAAGAAACACAAGTCAGTTTTGCACTCCATTATCTTAATGCTTTCATCAATAAGCTTGTTGTGTTTCCTTTGTGTGCATACTTAATCCAGTTTATAAGGACTAGCCTGTCTAAGTATAATTAAATTAGTGACATTTCGGCTGTCGTGGGAAAATGTATACCTACGATCTAATTAGTGTATAACGTGTTTTAAAATTTCTACTTCTGTATCCTTTCTACTTAATTCTACTTAAGGAGCTAAAATTGGTTAAGTTGTAAAAATAAAGAACGTGCTTTTTGTATATTGGTGTATGAATAGAATTAATTTAATGAAGTGGTTTGCCAGGAACGTTTGTTGTTTTATTTAAATCAATAGTGTCAGATTCGATTTGGTTTCAGATGTTGGTCACAACTCCAGAAAAATGGGATGTACTCTCACGCAAAAGTGCGGGCGCTGATAGCGATTCTTCTCCAACGTCACGCCTTGCTCTTCTCATTATCGACGAAATTCATTCCTTGGCAACTGCGCGACGGGGTGCGGTAGTTGAGGCCCTAGTAGCACGAACTCTTCGATTCTCTGAGACTGCTCAACGTCCCATTCGTCTGGTTGGTCTTTCAGCCACTCTCCCTAACTATGTGGATGTGGCTGCACTTCTACGAGTCAACCCAAAACGCGGTCTTTTCTTTTTTGACTCTCGTTTCCGTCCCGTTCCCCTTGGGATGTCTTTCGTTGGTGTGCGGTCTGACGCTGCAAAAATGCTTGCTCCTGATAATGGAGGTAGTTCAAACGCAGCAAATGAACAACTCATGAACCAAGTCTGCTATGATCGCGTTATTGAACAGCTCAAACAAGGCGAACAAGTGATGGTATTTGTTCATGCGAGAACAGATACTGTTCGCACAGGCCGTTGGTTTCTTAATTGGGCCAGTCAACGCGGTGAGATTTCCCTCTTTGAACCCCCTCCTAGTGCCAAAAATCCTGAGTTTGTTAAAAGGGTAATTACATTTTTTTTATGAAATTAGCGAATCAAGCAGATATTTAAATGTATACGTATTTGGTAGATTGCTCGTTCATCCGATGCGGGATTAAAGGAACTTGCACCAAGAGGTGTAGGTTGTCACCACGCTGGAATGTTGCGACCGGAAAGAAATCTATCAGAACGGTTATTTGCTGCTGGTGCTTTGAGAGTTCTTGTATGCACCTCGACTCTTGCTTGGGGCGTTAATCTTCCTGCTCATGCCGTTGTGATCAAAGGAACGAAAATTTATGACGCTGATCGATCTGATTTCGTTGATCTGGACATTCTCGATGTTCTGCAGGTTTGTTATAATCTATTTTTTGTTTTAAACAGGCTTCTATAATTTTCGATTATTTTCTTTTATAGATATTTGGTCGTGCTGGTAGACCTCAGTTCGACAGGTTCGGCTGGGCGACTATAATCACAACACAGGATAAATTGGATCATTATATCCGTTTAATAACAAATCAAATTGCGATTGAAAGTCAACTTCTTGATAATCTAAATGACCATCTTAATGCTGAGGTAAGATATCAATTGCGTTTTGAGTCATTTCTCGTCAAAAGTGGTTGTTCTATCTTGACAAAACAACATTGTTTGTGAAATTTTTTTAAAATAACCCATTTGGATGTTCTTTAAACATCACGAAACGCTACCGCCATAATCATTTTTTGAAAATTTGATAAACGAGTCTTCTGGTGAAGTTGGCAGAGCTGGTTGTTTAAGATATTTTAAAGTAGAAAAAATAAAATGGGGGGGGGGTGAACTTTTAATTTTTTATTGATGAGATGTTTATAAATACTTATGGCTCTCAGCAAGACAAGGGATTTCGGTCATTTTCCACCATGCGAAAAGATATTTATTTATTTCAAATGGCAGGCGTTATGATAGGTGTCATTAGCCCTTTAGTTGACTTCGGGCGTTATGATAGGTATCATTAGCCCTTTAGTTGACTTCGTGCTTCAGAATAGGTGTCATTAGCCCTTTAGTTGACTTCGGGCTTCACAAAAAGGAAGTGGAACACCAAAATAGCAAAAAGTCGAAAGGAGGCAGAATAATGATTCACAGACGTAAAAGGGACAGACGAACACAAAGGTAGAAAAAAGGTGAGGTGAGTACTGTGAAATTAGTCGAATATGAAATGCGGTGGGGTCTTGGTAGTTTTAAGTCGGAATTCAACTGCCAATTGATAGACTTTTTTCGTATTAGTATACGTTGCCCAAGGTGCACCACGAGGAGATAAGTCTATTGCACGCCCCATGCGAAAGGATATAAAAAAGTGGAAGTATTAGCTACTTGATTTTAACACAATACGACTGAGGTAAGTAAAACCTCAGAATGTTCAATTACTTCTGGAGGGCGTTTATTTTATGCTTGCATGGTCTTTGTTCCCCTAGATTGCTCTTGGAACAGTCACTAATGTCTCTGAGGCGGTTACTTGGTTGTCCTACACTTTTCTCTTCGTTCGACTTACAAAATCCCCCCTTCATTATGGTATTACTCCTTCGATGCTTGCGGTACGTTCTAGAATCTGCCTAATCTTGTCTAATCGCATATTATTTTACTTAAATGCTACACTATTTCATTCCAGGAAGATCCAGATTTGACCATTTTTCTGACAAGTGCTGTTGAAAGTGCTGCAAAAGCGCTAGATGATGCAGAAATGATTCGATTTGAACCCTCAACGGGCATAATGGCTAGTACGGATCGTGGTCGAACTGCAGCTCTTTATTACATCAGCTACGCTACGGCAGCCATGGTCAAAGAACGTCTCACACCCCACATGCTGCCCCAAGATCTCGTCTCTCTGGTGGCTGACGCCAGTGAATTCGCCCAGATGAAAGTTCGAGATGACGAAGAGGCTGAGTTGGTCCACTTGCAAGACGAGGCTTGTCAGATTCCAGTCAAGAACCCAGGTACTGTAGAGGGGACGCTGGGAGTGAAAGTGAATGTTCTTCTGCAGGCGCACATTTCTCGTGCGAGACCGACCACACACTCCCTGGTATCGGATTTATACTATGTTCAACAGAATGCGGCTCGTTTGGCGAGGTATATATTTGAAATTGCTCTGAGATGTGCATGGTCAGTTTGTGCCACGTCTGCGCATCAACTCTCAAAGGTAGTTTTTCCCACCTTCATCATTTGCATAACTATGAAATTTCAACTAAATGGCTTTCTAGTGTGCTCTTTCCAGCAAACGATGGAGCCGTAATTATTTGACTTGTTACTAGTCTTTGCCGAAGCGTTGGTACGTGATAGGGGAATTAAGTGGATCAATTCCACTCATTAATGGTATAAATCCGGGCGCTTGTGTAAATGTAACAGTTCTGTGGTAGCTGGGAAGCATGGAAGTAAATTTCACTTTTTGAATTAATTTCAGTAAGCGTGGTCTAGCCAGATATTTAAGAAACTTCCTCTAAATGAAATTAGTAATGTAAAAAGGCATTAAGTCTATAGATGGAAGCGAGGATCAATAATTATAAAGTGTAAAAATTGGAAGATGAAGAGGCCGTCAAGTCCATCTCGGGCTAGTGACAAAAAGCTGAGTACATAGCCTGTTCCAGCCAACGGCCACACTGACCTCTCAGGTTCAGCTTCCCTACTATCCTACTCTTCGTTGCCTTTTTACTGGCTAAATTTCGAACCTACTTTACGTGTTTTTTCGTATGTGGATTCCACAACTAGTAACTTAGCTTGACAGTTGCTGGCTAAATTTTTTGGTATGACTAAAGGGGTATCTTTCATTGTTGTATTTGCACTATTTGTTGAGTGGTGTATAGACAGCCAACAGTTACCACGTATCATCTTTACTTGTAAAACTCGTTGTCAAATTAATTGCATTTGTTTCTACATGACTCTTAGTAATTCATACCTTTATTTAGATGATTGAGCATCGCCTGTGGTACGGGGAGACCCCATTGTGGCAATTCATCGGTGAAAACATCGATAACTGTCGCATTCTTGAACGCGTTGATGAACAGAAACTTCGAGTTGACAAAATTCGAGAATTAACACCAGATGAATTAAGTCAGCTTCCTACCTGTCTTCATTTAAGGTCTCAAACTGTACCTATCTGTTATTCGATTCCTGTTCCTTTTTAGATGGCATCTTGCATTTTCAAGGCATTCGTGGTGCTGAGTACGTTCATCGTCTTGCCCATTATCTTCCTTTTCTCAATCTGTCGGTTGAGACGCAACCAGTCACCAGGAATATTCTTCGAATAACTGTTCGGCTCACTGCTGACTTCACTTGGGCAGATTTTCATCATGGTAATGGCGGAGCTCTACTCTATTGGCTCTGGGTCGAAAACCCTGATGAAGCCTGTATCTACCACTCTGAGGCCTTCATTCTCAACAAAAAGATGGTTAGTTAGCCTTTCTCCTCTTTGACCTTACTCAAAATGACATGTTAACAATGGACAAAGAGATATCTCTTCTCTCCACCATTTAGCCTTATTTCCCTCTTAAATCCTTTAAGCTCACACGGTTCAGGCCATTTTCTTCGCCTGTGAGTCATTTTTTTATTTCGAGATGATTAGATTTGATATATTAAGTAGGCTCTTATATTTCCTTATTTTATGTGTTTGCTTGAAACCTTTTAAATTTCTCGAAAGCACTTCGTACTTGCACGTGAACGCATTGACTGTCATCGTGCTTCTGTTATCAATTAATACCGTAATAGAGTATATTTTTCTAAAGATAATGATCCTGTTTAAATGTGAATAATTTGTAGTAAATCGTTGAAGAACTAGTATATTCTTACTTTCTGCTTTTTTTCAGTACGTAAAGGCAAAGGGCGAAACTTTAACGGAGTTAATCTTCACAATACCTATTCACGAACCCCTTCCATCTCAATACCTGGTTCGATGTGTATCAGATCGGTATCTGGGGGTAGAAAGTGTCGCTCCTGTGCATCTCCGAAATATTCTTCTTCCACAGTCTGATCCTCCTCATACCGGTTAGTATAAAATTGTTCATCAAATTTGTGTCATCGGCAATTTCCTTATTGTGATTTAAATTTAGAGAGCATAGGTAGAAAAAAACATGATGGATTTTGCTTTGAATATCGTCTTTAATCCAATCCTAACTTTGCATAATCCATAATCGCTTTCTCCTCTTCCCTTCTCTTCACTAGTTTTGTTGACTATGAATGTGGTAAGGGATGGGGTTGTGACCAAATGGTGCTTTGTTCCCAACAAATCTATGGTTTATGTATATTTGGGGAATGCTGATCGACAGTTGGGAGCGTTCAGATCAGTTACTACTATGAAATCTGTAATCCGCTGAGTGTTAGCACAGTCTGTGTAAATTTGAGTACCAACTGTTCTTTTGTGTGCTGTTGATGTTGCAGTCAAGGGCAAAGCTTATCTCGGGTCACATCCAGCGGTGTGAACGACCGACCGTCCTACTTAATTCTGTTAGATGGTTGAATGTAAGTTCCACGATACCCTCCCTCCTCTTCTCAAGTCTTGTACTGTCAACAGTTCTAAAAGCACTGCAATAGTTTACAATGTAACAGTCAACTTTTCGCGAATTAAAACAATTTGATGTTGGCATCAATCAATGCTGTCACAGAATGAATTACAGATTTAGAAGATTATCACTCTTTGTTGCATTCTGTCACATTAAAATTGAAGCGGTAAATATTCACACAATGATTATAGCCTCACGATCTCGAGATCAGTTGATTTATTGACTAAGAAATTTGTATAAAATTAGTAGATGTGCATTGATCAACGGAGGATTTAACTTTCAACTCATAATAACTTAACATCAACTTAACCTTGACCTTTTTTTCCTCTCTTTGTTTAGATCTTTTGCCTCTTGATCCACTGCCTTTGACTGTTTTGAAGAACGCAAAATATGAGTCCCTCTACCCATATACGCACTTCAACCCTATTCAGACTCAAGTTTTCCATACTCTCTACCACCAAGATGTCAATGTGTTACTTGGCGCCCCTACAGGTTCGGGAAAAACGGCAGTTGCTGAATTGGCCATCTTTCGAGTGTTCAACACTACACCGGATAAGAAATGTGTTTACATTGCTCCTCTGAAGGCTCTTGTTCGTGAAAGAGTTGACGACTGGTCGGTGAAAATTGGCAAGAATCTCGGTAAACGGTGAGAGATTGACAACACTTATTTGTTTGTTTGTTTTATTTAAAGATTATCTATTCGAATCTGCTCCTATTTGCTACAGTATCATTTTGTCAAAATGGTGATTGAATGGCTTTGCTTGAGTGAAATTACTTTACTAAGTTGTAATACCTGGAAAACGGCTGTTCTTTAAAGTTGTTTAATTCCAGTTGTCAATTTCGTAATAACCTCTGGCTACTAGAAGTTGGTTCGTGGAATATATAATCATGATGCTTCAAGAGAAGTCAAATCTCCTTCCTTTAAAATTAGAGCAAATAGAAATGAATTTCTTATGTATTCTGAAGTTACTTTTGGCAACGAGACACAAATTTGGAAGCCAAGTCCCTTATATGTCCTTTCCTTTCAACGAGATATCTTTCAAGGTATATCAATTTCATTATTTGAAGCTCTCCATCGTCGTGCCAAAATCGCTTTTGTAATGCAAGCATTAACTGAATATATAACGTTGAAGTCATCCATACAGTAGAGAAAAAACAAGCTTGACTTTTTTTGATTTCCACGCTTTACGATCTCTACTATCTGCGTAAATGTAGTAAACGTGTACGGAAGCACAAGTTATGTGAAGATGGAAAGGTGGTGGCGGTCTTGTATTAGTAAACTAGAATCACATCTAAATAGTCGAATAAAGTTGAAATGCATAAGAGCCAAAAATGCGAGAAAATATAAACATCTTGTAGGTCGGTGATGAGTCATACTCAGAAGGAAGCGAAGATAATGAAGAAGTGGGTTAAATGGCTAATCGAATGAATATATATCCTCCTTTAACAATCTCTTAACAGCTGATGTTTTTACCATCTCATAGCGAAAGAAACTGAGGTGTATTTATTTATTTTCACGATAAATTAAAATATACTATGACTTTTTATTAATGTGTCCCAGACTATTTGCAACTGGAGTATCTATCACCGAAAACCCTATGAAAGTTTCCCAACTAATTTATTAACCATTGGTTCGTATTTGCAAACTATATCCCTTTACTTACACGTTTTTCATTATTGTTTCAATCTCATAGAGTTGTCGAATTGACAGGAGACGTGAGTCCAGATGCCGCTTTACTGCGACAGGCAGATGTGATCGTCACTACTCCAGAGAAGTGGGATGGTATATCTCGAAGCTGGCGTCAACGCAACTACGTTCAGAAAATTGCCCTCATCATTATCGATGAAATTCACATGGTTGGAGAGGATCGTGGTCCTGTTCTTGAAGTAAGTTACTTTCTCTTCAGTCTTTTCTCCTCATAACAGACGGATTTTATCTCCATAGTGAGGAATTCTTTATTGACCAAATTTAGATTTATTTGTTTCTCAGACTTAAGGTATATTCTTTCTTAATCTTTGAATCGGGAGTTATTCTTGTACTTTTTTGCCGTTATTAAATCCAAATGTGTAAACATGAATAGGGCATCCGTTTCGAAGCTTAATCTGGGCGCTACCTGAAAGTGCGCCTATGCTTGAGTTGCTAGGCTGCTCTTGATTTTGGGTTTGCAAACTATTGGCAATGCTTTTCTGTTAGATTGTGTTTTTGCTTTCCTCTCTTATAAATCATGAAAAAATGAGGAATCTGGTCTTTACTGCAATTACAAGTCCTCATCTATTTTAAAAATAAGTGAAAGAGCGACTTAGAAATCTTTAGTATTGAGCAGACTCAGCTTGGCAACCTCTACGAACTCTACCACGTCAAACTGTAGCAAGACAGTGTGATTGTAATTATTTTTATAATAGGAAAATGCAAGATTTGCAAGATGTGATTGTCTAAGTATGAAAGTATGGCTGAAAACACACAGGTGTTGTAAAATTTTGGGAATTCAGTAAATAGCCTACTGATTGAGAAAGGCACTTGGTTAAATCGATGAATTGGACTTATTACAGCCCTTAGGTGACATCCATCAGCAATTTATTTCCTTTTCAGGCAATAGTTTCTCGAGCAAACTTCATTGCCAATCAACTTAACACTCGCATTCGTGTTGTCGGCCTTTCTACAGCCTTGGCCAACGCTGTTGACATGGCGATTTGGCTTCGAGTTCCTCTTGCTCCCCTTGGTCCTCAGAGTGCTTGTAGCGGACGCGGGCTCTTCAACTTCCGGCCCTCCGTGCGACCTATCCCGCTTGAGGTACATATCCAAGCATACCCTGGCCGACACTACTGCCCTAGAATGGGTCTAATGAACAAACCCATTTTCCAAGGTAAACAACTTCACTTCTCTTTAAGATCCTACAACTGAAAAGCGCTTAACGATAGTTTTATGATGACTACACCATTTCCGTTAATGTGCAGCCGGAGTTCGACACGTAAGTGCTAAGTTAGTCTGCAGTGGTCTTTAATGGGGATTATTTTAGTTTTAACTGGGCGTAAAATATGCAGGAATGACTTCCATCTCCCTAGTGATTTCAAGCAGAATCTTGGCGTGACATTAGAGAAGATGACTTTAAATGAGAGCACTGATGCAGCTTCTTCCTTCGGCCATCACGTGGAATGTAAATCCTAAAGTAGATTATGCGATGAGTGACTATTTCGGCTATTTTATGTCCGAACTTTTTTGCTACTCTCACTACTTATTATTTAATTTACCCTCGTCCTTGGGTGATGAATCCCTATTTATTTGAATATACTAAACTCGATCCGATCCTTTGCTTTCTCTATCGTGGGGTCGTGTTTCCATTTTCAAAGGTCCATGACATGTTTTTTTCGTTGGCAAAGCTTTACATACGAGTATTGGTTTTGGCCCCACGAAGTAAAAGAGTGACTATAACAGTTGCCATGCCTTTTTATTTGTTAAAAACTACTTCTTATCTAATTGTGGGTTCCTTTGTAAACAAGGTAATACTATTTTGCTTTAAAAGCAAGTAAGGATGGTCATTTTATTAAATTTTAAATTTCATTTATTGTCAGTGTAGCTTCCCCTGATAGTCGATTTCATCTTTACAGAACGTGGCTATATTTTTTTAATTCCATTTAGCCATTCAAAGTCACTCCTTCAACAAGCCAGTGCTAATCTTCGTGGCCAGTAGACGACAAACCCGCCTAACGGCTTTTAGTCTTATCACCTACGCTTCGGCAGAGATGAACCCACGTCAATGGCTGCACATGGATAGTAATGAGGTGAAGATTTATCACACTAATAATTCTCAATTTATCATTTGAGCTTAGTTTATTAACCTTGGTATTCACCTTCATTATAGATGGAGGCTCTCGCTTCAGCTTTGTCGGACCAAAACCTCCAGGTTACTCTCCCCTACGGTATTGGAATCCATCATGCTGGCTTGAGAGATAGTGATCGACGAATTGTGGAAGAACTTTTTGTCAACCGAAAAATTCAAGTAGGTCCCACTTTCACTCCTGTTATACTCAAGACATATGAATGGTATTTGTGATTGTTTTGTTTTGTTTCTTGCAGGTACTGATAGCCACATCTACTTTGGCTTGGGGTGTAAACTTTCCAGCCCATTTGGTTATTGTTAAAGGAACAGAGTACTTCGATGGAAAGACGAAGCGATATATCGATTATCCTATTACTGGTAAACAGCTTGATTCAATCTCATGGAATGCCACTTGTTAAATGCTAATTAACGCTTTTAATCATCTTTTTTGCAGATGTGCTACAAATGATGGGTCGTGCTGGCCGACCACAGTTTGATAATGAAGGCAAGGCAGTGGTGATGGTGCAGGATACGAAGAAAGCCTTCTACAAGCGTTTCCTCTATGAGCCCTTCCCCGTTGAAAGCTGTCTACCCCGAATTCTTCCCGACTACATCAATGCTGAAGTTGCATCTGGAAATGTAGAATCAATGCAAGCGGCAATGGAGTGTATTACCTGGACGTTCTATTTCCGACGACTTTTGATGAACCCTAAGTAAGTTTACTTCCCGGTTTAGTTTCGTCGATGGGACAGAAATGCCATTTAAACTCCAAATGGGTTCTTAAAACATATTCCATTAGTTAGAACTACACGCTGTGGTGGTATAACTTAAGATTAGACAATTCGGGGAGTGAGATTGAGTTATTTTTATACCCCCGTTTCACCTTCTCTTAGTATACCTTCGAATTAATGGAAATGTTTGTTCTGTTTTTGATCTGTTCCAAATGGAAATTTTTCTACTAACATCTTTTCGTTCATTGAGTATTCCACCGATTAATTTTAAACCTTTGCGGAGCAATTGTAGGCAGAAAAAAAACAATGTTTAAACCCTCGGAGTTTATGTTTCATCTCGAGTTAAGCAATTCCTCAAGTTGTCACCAGTTGAATCTCGTCCTGCTCCTGACACCTTGACAATTAACGAATTATGAGCTGTTATTCGACCCTCCCTCCCCTCCCCCACCTCTATCTATAATGTCATCAAGAAGACGATTTTGCTTATATTGTGAGCTTTGAAGTAACCGCGCTTCTTCCTAATCTCGCTCCCTCTTCCTGAATCTGAGGCAACTGTAAACTATGGCATCTAGTGGTCATATAAATCGAAGAAGCAGAAAGCATGCATCTGCTTTCCTACTATCACAACCTTGCATAAGAGCGCCATACTTTGCAAAGGTTTCAATCCCAAAACCTGCGTTTCATTGTCGTAATACCAACTTATTCGATGAGTAATAATTACGGTTAATGTGCGTCAATTCCTCACAACTATGCATGATTAATAAGGTTAATGAAAATTTTTATTGTAGTTACTACCAACTTGAAGACACAAGCGCAGCTGGAGTGAGCGCTTTTCTCTCAAAAGTAGTTTCCGAGGCTGTTGAGCAATTGATGGATTCTGGATGTGTGGAAGTAGGAGAGCCAGAAGAAGAAAGTTACTCTGAAGAAGTTGAATCACGTGGTACTCCTGTAATCCCTCTCTATGGCACTCCTATCGGTCGTCTAGCTTCCTTCTACTATATCTCTCACAAAACCATCCGCCTGTATGATGAGAATGTGGCTCCCAATACCAGTATTGAAGACCTCATTTACGTTCTCTCTGCAAGTTAAACCCGTAATAAATTTATAGTGTGTGTCAAGGAAGACCGATTTAATTGGTCATTTGTTTTAGATGAGCGAAGAATACGCAGAGCTCCCAGTCAGACACGGAGAAGATGAATTGAATGCTTCCTTGGCGCGAGAATTACCTCTCAAGCTGCGTGAATCTCCGGACTCAGGCCATGCGAAGGCTCATTTACTCCTTCAAGCTCATTTGTGCCGAAGAACCGGTAATCAGTTGCCTGTGGCAGACTATATAACTGACACTTCCTCTCTTCTCGACCAAATGCCACGTTTGTTGGCGGCATTGCTTGATGTGTCTGCACTACGAGGACGGCTAACAGTTGCTCTACGCTGTGCTCTCCTTGGTCAGATGATTTCACGAGCTCTTTGGTTGTCTGATTCACCCCTCCTTCAGTTGGTTAGAGATTCTTGTGACCTGGCTGCGTTTGAGCTTGAAAGCACTAATGGTGAAGAATCCATATATATCGAGACCCTTCCGCAATTGCTAGAAGTGGCTGGAGAGGCACCCACTTTCCCAGGTTTACGAAAACTTCTTAGGGATCGCATGCATGCAGGAACAATAGACCGAATTAGAAAGGTAATTAAATGCCATAGATGGCAATAAACGTATCTAAATATTCCATTAATTATTTCCCTTACTATTCTCTAGCTCCTTCTGTGCGTCCCAGTAGTGTCAGTTGAGTTGTCACTTATGGGAGGAAAGAATGAACAAAAGGTTAGCATTATCGATCTTGAAGTGCCTTCAGAACTTGCTCGAAGGAATCCAATTCGTATTAAAGCTGATGCCGACTATGCTCTGTGTGTCACCCTGCATTATGAGAATAACCCAAGTCCCCTTGTAAATTTCATTGAAGATGTTTTTCTACTTACAAATAATCAGTAAATGATTGTTGAGGTTTTCACTTTCAGCCTAAAGACAATGGCCGACAGTCAAGACCGCCTGGCTGGGTGGTTATTTTGGGTGAAATTGGCGGACCCATGGAGGATGAAGGAGGTACCCTTTACGCCATGAAGAAAACTACTTTTAAGAGGAATAAAAATAACTTAAATGTGATTTCGCTCTCCTTCCGATTTGGTGAAGAATTGCTTGGTGATCACGAATTGTCACTCTACTTGATGTCTGACACTTTCATGTCCATCGACCAACAATTGAGCTTTTGTATTCGAGTTGTTTCTCCAGATGATGGTTTTGATGAAGAAGATGAAGACTATGAATAATATATGCAATAATTTTTGCCAAATTGTACTAATTCTTTCTTATGCAGACATTCTTGTATGCTTCATGAATGTTTTGTTGCCAATATCTTTTTTTTTAAATTTAATACAAAAGTCTTTCTTGTGTAATGATGAAGGATTATTGTTATTGCTCTTGGCACATCAAAATTATCTTCAAAAAATCCCAAACGTTCCAATTAGCAAGGCCTTCATAGTTCTTACCTTCAACTCAGGATCATTGAGTTGTCGCATTTTTAGAAAGGGAGTTCGTGAGACTCGGTCTTAATAAATTTGACCCCCCCCCCCTCCCCTTTATTCATGAGTTTGATCATGCATAGTTTATCCAAAGCTAATTGGATGGTTTGTTTAGGTACGTGGTTGGTCATGACACACCAATTGATACACATATTTGTTAATTACTTTACAGCAAAGACCAATGAGACAAGGGTAATAAATACTCTAAGTTCCCTCAGCAACAGCTTCTGTCCCTTCGTTGATATTGTGCATTTTGCTGTCGTTGCCACTTGGTGACTCAAATGAGACCGAACCAAATAGCCATTCTTAGTTTACTTGATTTTGTCTTTACTCAATCACACTTAAAACCAGCTCTTCTTATAACTGCCCTGATCTTCTCACTCTGTTGTCCCTTAGTATTCCCCTGATTTGGCAAAGTTAGCTGTCTCCTGAGAGCTGTTAAGATGACTCAATTTTAAAGTGGATCGCTTAGTCTCTAACTAGTAATGGTGCTGCTTTAGTGGCGACATTATTATGCTACTCATTTTGATTCATTTTTTTGCCCGGTTCGAATGGTTTTGACAAACATTTTGCGCAAAGTGCTATCATTTATTCAAGAACTTGAATGCACACAATAAACTTTTTCCAACATTTTACATGGCAGTTTCAAGAAATACGCATATTTTCTCACGCATGTAGTGCGTTATAAAATCATTAAATCTCCCCATATAGCAAAAATTTCAGAATTTAGTTAAAGTACACAGACCCCTTATTGATTGGCTTTGCTCTAAAATTAAGCGAGGCAATGACTGCCATTCAGTAGTTTCTAACTTATATAAGAAACAATAAATAAAAAACACCAAATCGTGAAATCAATTCTTTGAACACAATTGATCAATCATTATCAAACACCTGCATGCGAACCTTCTGTATCCACTTATTTGAATGTTGGATTCACTCTGACCCCCGATCCGAGGCCTCTTTAAACGCCCAAAGTAATGGTTGACATGGAGATTGAGCAGAATCTCATGGGTTTAGAGATTCCAAGTCAGCGTGAGGTCACTTCCCTTCAGGTAGATCTTTATCATATTCCGATTTTGAAGCCAAGTTTATGAACTCAGGTTTGGATACCAAAACATGGTGTTGTCGTGAACCTCCACTGTGATTAACCAAAAATCTATTCTATTGTCTCCTTCCATGTGACACGAGAAGCTACATGTGCACATTTAAAACAGTTGTTTTTCTGTCAAAAGGCTTTGATGAAGAATGTAAAAGAGAGCAGATCAAACTACGAAAAACTACCATAAATCGAGTAGACGGAAATTGGTTATCATTTCAGGACACATTAACTCCTCAAACCTCCTCATCGGCCAATCTTATCAATGGCTGTTAATGACGGTGTCAGTTGTGACAAACTTTGTGTCATTAACTCAGGCCACTATGTGGGTACAAATCAACCATGATCAGGTGGGACATTGCTCGGAGAGGCTCACGAGGACTGAGAGCGAGGAAAGCTAGTTTGAGAAATGGGTACAATGTACTTTAGTCACGATTGCACTTTGTACAACAACTCTTGGTACAAATTCATTGGACTTGTAGACAGGTTTATCAAGACCAGGTTGCTTTTATTTTCATCCATCGGTGCCATCGACTGAAACGCACAGCGAACACGATCCATGACCTATTGGAGATTTGACCATTGTGGACAATAAAGGAGTTCTGAATTGTTTTAGAGTAAAGTAGAGCAGCCTTTCTCAACGCCTCCCCACCTAAAACTTTTGATTCATCTGTTAATTATGATCTTTGTTTAAAAATGTGATTACGGAAATTATATTGTGCGCATGAGATTCATTAATTTCACATAGTTTTTGGCAGATGGGTGTGGCTTCGTGTCATCATTGGTTGCCCGAATCATAGAACAAAATGGTCAAAATAGAAAGTTAATTTTGCATTCAACGTCTCGAATTCAAGGTTGAAAACGTTACGAGAGGAGAAAGGTGGAAAGTTGGGTTAAGAGAACTCAGAGACAGAGCAGAGTATGAGAAGCAGTGATGGTGGTTGCAATGACATCTTTGTTCCCAAACATTGTGCAAAATAATGCCGACTTGCTCTGATTGTAGAAAAAGAGAAGGTGATTTTGTGTCCAGCATTGAAGCACCCACCAAATGTATAAATGAGAGTGGCGTCAAGTTTCAGAATGACCAATTTGTGCAAGATTGGGACCTTGAAATTTATCACATGTCATAAATGTGCCAATTGTATGATTAATTTCATGATTGAAGGATTAAATGTTTCTATCTCATACAATACATGTCTTGGACCAACTGCACTAAACTTAATGATTAGTATCTAGTAACAACTAACATGAAATGCTTCTAGGTATTAACATTTTTACCAAACAATTAATTTCAGCAAATCAAGAAAGAGTAAGGAAGCCAAACATGATCAGAACGCTATTTGTAAGTCGATGACACTGAAGTTGACATTTTTATGAACTAACAACAATTTCAAATATTTTTGCCAACCGAATTCGGTAGTAAATAGGAAGATGGATTATCTGCAATTGCAAAAGTTGGAATGACTCAAATTGGGTAGTCAAGATAACTCCAAACAGTTACCGATATCTCATTCGACTTCGACTTGGTAGATGTGTTGTGCCTGCAGTTTCAGGAAAGCCACTTCCTAGTTGATTGACAATAAGTATTCGGCACTTATCCAATAACGTTGTTATTGCCATAGAACACTCTTAATGTCTAGACAGAAC